CACACTCTGCAGGCGGACATGTACCGTGATCCAAACACAGAGACTATTTCAGTTCACTGGAAGCACGTGGAAACGCGCGGGAGGTACTACGACGCAGCGGTGCCCCATCTCCCTCGCGAAGTTTGGGGTCGAGAGCCTGTGCGGCAGTTGAAGAATTGCGACTTCATCTACGCTTGCCCCCCATGGGGAATTGCGCTGCTGTCATAGCGACAAAACGTACCCTCATGGGAGCTATGCTGGCAGACAAAAGATGGTTCGCTGTACTTTGGGCCCATGGCATTTGGTATCTTTGGTCGCTACCACGTGGTGCAGATACCAATCGAGGATTTGGGCCCCAGATGGGTCGACATTTGGTACGACGACCAACGTAACGCGATGTCGGGAGTCAAGTTCGACTGTCCACTACACAGAGAGACCCATCTACCATCGTGAACAGCGCTTTGCAGCGCCCTGATGTCAAAACATCGGCAGACCGTGCTCCGGACGTACAATGACGCAGAGATGTGGACACACCAGCGCCGCAGACGCCAGCATCAACTCTCGCGCAGGCCGCAACCAAAAAGATAATCTGTGCAGAGCGATGCATCGCCTTCACCTGCGCCGACAGAGAAGTCCCAATAATTTGATCTGGAGCCTCCACCTGCGAGTCCAGAGGGAACTCCCGTCGAAGAAACATACGCCGCCAAACAGCAGCGCGTGGACGTCGACGCCGTCAGAACTGATGTCGGCATTGATGGCGGCCTGGCGATCATTGATCTTCTCGACCTCAACAACGCGGAGCTGAACACATGCTTTCAGAGCAGTCTCAGAGACAAGGAATCGACCGATGGACATCAACATTCTTCTCCAGACGCACGCGATCAAGATTATGCAGATCATTGACATCACTCGCTTCAACAGTGAAGAGGCGATCGGGGCGTTCCGTGCAGGTGAGCTTCATTTCGGGATCTCCACAGACAGGTCCACGCTCAACTTCGACTACGCGTCTCAGCGGGCCAACCCTTAGACCGACCTCTGCGGCGCGAAGAACTTGGCCACCGCAGTGCTCAGACCCATCGTCTATAACGCGCGCCGCTACTCCACCACTGGTATCTACCAGTGGCCATCGAAAATGTACGCCAACATGCTGGTCCAAGCTATGTTCTGCCTCGTGGACATGGGCGACCAGGAGATCCACGACAACCAGCCTGGCTTGTTGGCTATACGCCAATTATGGACCAAGTCTGCCGACGACGACCCGACCACCCCCACCATGTTTCAGAAGACCATTTTCCTCAGGTCGGACGACAGTCCCGCGACCGGCCAGGAACCCCCTGATGATACCGTCGATGTTGCTCTCGTCGATTCCAGCCAGACCCTGGAATCTGGATCAGGACCTGGCCCGCCGTGCGTAGCCTCCAACGCTACGCCTTGCCGGGATATCCCGGTCCAGGCGCTTCATGGGGGATGTCGCAACGATCGCCAGGCCAGCGCCGAGATCGACGAGAACGCCCTGCGGGCGGAGGCAAAGCGCCTCCTGGAGCATCCGCGCGACGCTCGCACGGCCTCAGACCAGGTTACCGACATTGATCGTGACCAGCCCTATCGACGATCTCACAATGCCTGGCAGGCGATCAGCCGTTCGCTCGCCACCGATGCCGCGTATGAGATCGATCGCAGGAGCCCCCCATCTCTTTGTCGATCGCTGGCTGGAGCCGGTCGCAAGATCCGCGATTGAATCATCGAGCGGGTTGCGCCCAGGAGCGCGCGAATTCCCCGCCTTCGCCGCGCCGAATGCCGCCGTGACATCCCAGCGGGCGCGCCCGAGGACGACTGAGTCTGTTCATTCTGCCGCAAGGCTATGGCACGCGGTGAAAAGGGAGATGCTGAGATCGCTTCCATGGCAGAGCTCAACATGTGGATCCGCGACAACCTGAGCCCAGCACAGGTTGGCGAGATCCCCCGAGCTGACGCCGCGATCCGTCCCCATCTAAGGCGCTATAGAATTGGCTTCGGAGAGCGCAGGAACACGCAATTGAAAGGCACGACAGTTTGATGCTGGCGGGCAGACCTGATGCACATGGGCGCGGGGTGCCTGGCAGCCAACGCGTCGATGCATTGTGCTTCCCATGTGCAAAATCGTTGGGCGCTTTAAGTACGACTCAACGTTCTACTTCGAAGCCGCGAAACTGCGCTCCCAACGATTACCCTGCAGGACATGCATGGCCCTGTAGCGTTTCATCGCGATGGCGCTAGGTGTGGCCATGCGGGCAGACAGCCGTGGGCCGGGAACGATTGGGCGCTGTCCCGTCAGCAAGGCATGGACTTAGCTTACCTTGCCATCGAGACTCCGAAAGCGGGCTCGGTTGACGGCGACGCAATGACCACGTCGGAGCTCAAGGGGGACGAGCATCAGGAGAAAGAACCGACCCGTCGACCCGATCTGCCCCCTACTATCCTCCACCATACACCACTGCACTGGTTCGCCATGGCTGCCGTGGCGTGGCTGCTCCCATGGCGCCGCCTCCACCGCCGTCATCATCGGGGCGCCGCGCCGCAGGCGTATCGGACGCGGCGCCGCCCCCCGCCACTAGCAAGGTTGGTGGCGACCGCCGCGAGCCATCGACGCCGCCCTAGCACTTGCGCACGAACTCCTCCGCGGAACGGCGGGGGGCTCATCCGGGACAGCTGCTGGGGCGAGAGATGCCAGTCTGAAAAATACGATGAATACATGTACTTTGATGACGCCAGTGTGCAGCTCTGGAAGTATGGGTGAGATGACGGAATATTACCACTGGTATAATGTGGTCACCGCCATGATCACGGAGGGTTGATGGGAATGGTGATCAAACGCAGATGCATGCAACATTCAAGGGAGTGTTTACGGCGCCGATACATGTAAACCTACCTGCGTCGGGCGCGGGCCCCGCGAGTCCGCGCGCACATTTGTTTGCGCGAAGGCGCCCGGGCAGGGGGGGATGTGGATGTCCTTTTTACAGCGGAGTCGTGAACGATGTTTTTTGTTCTTCATACACACGTCTCATGGGGCTTCGAACGCCCCGCGGCTCGACGCGTGCAGATCAGATTTTCAATGACCTACAGTTTAGGAGCTAATGGTTGTCTACCATTTCTTTGCGGGCAGTCCGCCGCTGCAGGAGACGTTTCGCACGGCGCCAGCGCTGGTTGGCGCTGTGTCACTTCTTGCGGGCAACCGGCGATTGCAAACGACACTTGTTTCATGTGGAGTGAGAAATCAGTGAGTGGGTTGTGACTTGCTGTTTTATATTTCTTTCCCATTGCACCGCTCTGTATTCTGAATGCCTCCAGCACGGTAGGTTGATGACGCCTTCGTGCGATTTATCTGCTGCGTTTCGGCCGGCGCGAATTTGGCGCGTCGCCGAGTGTTTTATGCGAGTTTCCCCGCCGCGTTTTGGCGCTTGCGCATTCGGCGCATCGCGCAATGCCTTGTTAACGGGAGACCTGCTGACATGGTTTTGGCTAGTCCCATAGTGCTGTAGCGGGAGTAACTCTGTTCCGCCCGTCTGCGCCCTGAATTTTCTCGGGGCGCGGCGCGGCGGGGGGGGGCGAAGTGGCTTCGGAGAGGGATGCAGGCCGCTCCTGGCTCTCAGGACCTGCCCAAATCATTAAGCTGGCCCTGCCTCTTGTGCCTTCAATTTTGCTGGCGGAGACACCTGCGCCGCCGACGTCGCTTGTTCGTCCGCCGTGCTACCCGCTGGCCATCTGTCCCAATTTCCTAGGCTTGCCCTGCCGCACTTCATTCCTTGGGCCCCCTGCGTGCCAGGCGCGTTTTTTGGGGGCGCGCGCCAGGGGAGCTAAAGGCCTTTGGCAAGGATTATAGGTACCTGGCAGGTCCTGTCTCGTCACCTTGCCGAATGGGGTATTGCAGTGCGAAGAGAGGTGAGTTGGGAACCGCGCCTCTATCCCGACGTCCCTGCCCGTTTGCACTGTCAAGGGACATGCTTTCGGCCGGAGTTCCGGGCGGGGTGTGCGCGCGCATTTCCTCTCTTCATCATTCCCGCCCCCCTTTGCCGCTGCCCCATGTCGGCTCAGGTACTTGACGCAGGACAGAGCAGCGCCGACGGATAAAACCCTTCATCGCTTTCATCCTTCCTCTACCTACGGTCTCCTTCAGACGGACGGTTCGGCCCTTCGGCTCCTCACCTCCATCCGCAGCGGATGCAGCTGTCGATCCTGCATGCGGCATTGCGGCGTGCATGTCTTGGGTCAGCTGCCCAATATTATCCATCATGGTCTTCTGCATTTGCGTGTTTGATTTGATCATGTCTCCCATGGCACGACGAAGCTCTGCAATGTCTGGAGTGCTCGTGGTTTCGTAATCCTGGGCCCTCTGGGCACCTGCGCGCGCATTGCCCGTGCCCCGACGGGGACTCCGTTCTCCGTTGATTTCGTCGAGCGCCGAGCGGAGGGAGGGGCGCTCATTTGGCTCAGCAGCGCGGGCCTTGATTGAACAGCTGCGGTCCCAGCAGCAGCAACACCACCACCAACAATCAGCAAAACAGCAGCATCAGCAGCACCAGCAGCAGCAGCAGCATCCCACACACACACACACACAAATATACACACGCCGTCACCATTTCGTCGGAGGAGCAGATATGGCAACGGCGACGGCGGCCCCCCCAAAGGGCGTCGCGCAGCCCCAGAGCCTCCACCACCACGACCTCCTCGTCGTTTTCCTCGTCGGAGGGTTGGCGGCGGCGGCAGCCGCCCCCCGCAGACGCCGCGCGGCCCCAGATGGTTCCGCTTGCCTGAAATTGCGCCGTGTTTTGTGCCCCCGAAGGTTTGGGTCGTTTCCTAGGACCGGTGCCTGACCCACGGGCTGGGCAAGGGCTTTCATAGGCCGAGAGGTGTCAACCATGGTCCGTCGCATGTTCTCCGCGACGTGAGGATTCCATGGTCGTCGTCGTCCTCCTCTTGTCGTCCTCGTCGTCCTCGTCGTTGGAGCTGCGGCGACCGCCGGCGGGGGCGCGCCCGCGCGCCAGGCCGGGAACGCGTCGGGCGCCTCGCCGAGGGACGGCGGAGCAGGCGCGCCGCCGGAGCAGGCGAAGAAAAAGCTGACGCAGGCATGCTCGGCCATGCCGCCCGCCGCGGAGGAGAGGTCGGACGGGGCCACGCCTGGGGGAGGCGAGTGTCAGAGGAAACCAAATAAGTACCGATTCCACTACCCTTCCCTCGTTTGCCCCTTCTTGGGCCTCCTCGGAGGCACTCGTCGCCACCGCTGGATCCGCCTCGACATTCTAGTCAGAACGCACTCCGGGAAAGGTCAGGGGAGTAGCGGTATGGGTACCTTGTGGTTTCCCCAGGAAAAGGCTAGGACGAGGGCGAGTCCATTCCAGAACGTTATTGGACGCTCCCGGAGCGTTCGTTCTGGGACGCTCTGAGAAGGCCGCGGCGCCCGAGAGACATCTTCCAGAGCCGACGGATCTCAGAGATTCTCGAATTATTTTCCTCTTGCATCTCCTCTGCCAACACAGTAGCAGATGCAGGGTACCAGGCGGTCGATCATTCTGGAGTGCGGGCGCAGGCCAAAGCTGGCAGCATCAGGGCCTGTCAGATGATGATCCGATTGGGACCTAACCCCGAGGCAGGTGAATTAGGTCCCAGATTGCACTAATAATCTCAGCACGTCTCTTGCCGCCCGCCTCACGCTCCTCAGTATAGATCTGCAGCCACAGACGTTCATGCTCAAAATTGTGACTAGACATGTAGTAGTGTGAACTCGTGACGCGCAGGCTTGCACGCGTGCTCCAGCGACCACATTACGCGTACATCCTTGTGGGAGGATGTCTGAAGGTGGGGGGAGCGCAGGCCCAGTGCCCAGCGCCCCTTTTGGACAAACCTTGAAGGTTCGCGATCGGCCCAGAGGCTGACGAGGGGCCCTTCGGGCGCCCCGCGGTCTCGCTCTGCAAAGCACCAGTAGCATCCGTGGGCACCGACCGGCAGGCGCCCTCACAGTGAAATGTGCGCGCACTCGCCGCCGTGGTCGTTCGAGCTGCTGACGAGGTCTCAGCTCCTCTGGCCCACAGGTGCTCCTCCTCCTCCGCCATGCTCCTCCTCCTCCTCTTTCTCCTCTGCTCACCCATGCTCCTCCTCCTCCTCCTCCTCCTCATCCTCCTCCTCCTCCTCCTCCTCCTCCTCCTCCTCCTCATCATCATCATCATCATCATCATCATCATCATCATCATCATCATCATCATCATCATCCGATGCCCACCCATGCTCCTCTTCTGCTATGCCCAACCATGCTCCTCCTGTTCCTCCCGCATGTGCCCACCCATGCTTCTCATCATATACCCAACCATGCTGCTGCTCCTCCTCCTCCTCCTCCTCCTGCTCCTCCCCTAAGCCTCGCGTCGCGGAACAAACATCCCGCCAGAAGGTTGGTGGCGTTGTTCCACCTCCGTTGGCCTTGTACGCGCCCCCCTGGGCCCTCAACGAACGGCTCAGAACGAAGCAATTGTCGTCAGGAAACGGTCCTGAGCCGAGTGAGAAACAAATGCACAGACATGAACCGTCGGAGGTCCGCGAGGATTTTGTGGGCCAGCGTTGGGCCCTCTTGGCGGCGCCCCCAGCACCGATCCAGCGCTGGTTCGACAACGCCGCGTGGACCTCCTGACGTGTACGTTTGTGCAAATGTTTCTCCTGCTGAGGGGACACGGGTTCAGCTCCCATTTGAGACATCGAGCCGCCTGCCCAACAACGGCCGCTGCCGGTTTGGGACAACATTGTTGGTGGGCATGGTCGCAGTTTTTCTGTACGTGCCCATTTTGGGCGTCCAATCGCGCAATTCGTCTGGCCCCCAGAAGAGGGATGAAGTCTCCGGGTGAGGCCTTGTGGGTCTTCTTGGGGGCCCTCCGGGGACCTCTTTTGGGCATCTTGCGAGGCCTCGTCGGGCCTCTATGGGCGTTCCTTGGGCGCCTGCTGGTGGTCGCGGGGGTCCTCTTGGGTCCGGGGGGCTCTGCCGAAGTGGCTGCCGGGAGAGGGGCGCGCCGACGTGAGTGCCCGGCCCCTGGCAGGCCGACCCTCTCCTTGACGGCCCCCTCGCCTCGCTCCGAGGCGTGGGCAGGAGGCCAGAGGGGCCCCCCCTCGAGAGCCGGGGGGGGTCGTCGCGGGAGGGGCTCGGCGGAAGGGGCCGGTCACGCCGCGCCCGAGCAGTCCCCAGCCAGGCGTGGTGCAGCGGGCCAATCTCAGGAGGGGAAAGAACACGCAGACACAATTAAGCGTCGACTCCCAGAAAATATTGGAAAATATGGGAAGTGGGGGGGAAGGCAGAAACCCAGAAAATATAGGGAATCTGGTTATTTGTGTCTATTTGTTTGTGTGTCCCAGTTCCCCTGCACAATCCGGGGTGGCCTGCAGCAGGTGCGCCGCGTTCGGAGCTCGCCGACGCCGCCGCCATGGCCGCCTTCGGCCCAATCTCGTCAGCGCCGCCGCCGTCGCCTGCCCTCGAGGAGGGGGCTGATGCGCCTTGCATCTTCCGCCGCCCCATACCTCCACCTCCTCCCTTCCCGTCTTGCTGCTCGTCCTCCCTTTCTTCCTCCCCTCCCCCCTCCCGATTGCGCATAAAACGATGGGATCCTTTTGGGGGTTCCAGGTCCACAATGACACGCGTCGGCGGATACATGGAGACAGACATCAGCACAATGGTAAGGGATGGCAGGGGGGGTAGGATGTTGGAGATGGCGCGAGCGCGCCTAGCTTGAGGCCCGCCCCCTCCTCTCCTACCTCCGCTCCCTCGGACTCGGCCCCGGGATCTCTCTACGCGGGGGCGTTTCGACACTGATGCCGTGCCCCGACGAGGGGTCCCCCCCAGAGGCCCCCAAAAAGAGGCTCCCCAAAGCATCAGCGATCCCGGATCATGAAGTCCACGGAGTCCTGGATGCCCTCCTCCACTTCCTCCCTCCCCGTTCTGCTACTCGTCCTCCTCCCTCCTGTGCTTCCACGGATTGTTCATTGTGAATAGTACGCTCCTCTCTCCGGAAGAGCGCGATTGTGGTGCAATTGTCACTAAAAGGGGGGCCCCAGCTTCAAGATACCCCCCTCCCCTCCCTTGGAAAAGAGGGGGAGTCTTTCGAAGGTACCCACCCCCTCCTTTTCTTATGTGGGCATGTTTTAGCTGGGGGGGTGCCCTAGCTAAAGGGGTGGGGGGTTTGGAAGCTACAACCCCCTCCCCCCCTTTCCGGGACCACACGCTAGCCCAGGCTACATTGTCACCCACCCCCTCTCCTGTTCGCAGCAGAGATTTGTTTGCCAAGGGCGGGGGGGCTTCAAAGCTACCCCACCCTCCCTTCCATGTCGGGAGCCCAAGGCCAGTCTGGGCTTGCCTTTCAAAGGGGGGGCTTCGGAAGCAACCCCCCTTTCCTTTCGCAGCTGAGATTGCCTTGCCAAGGGGGGGGGGGCTTCAGAGCTACCCCCGCCCTCCCTCCTTTTACGGAGCCCAAGGTTAGCCCAGGCTTCCCTTTCAAAGGGGGGGGGCTCTGGAAGCTACCCCCACCCCCTCCTTTTCGCAGCTGGGATCGGCGATCCGTTTGTTTTGGGTGCTTCTTTGGATTTCGGCGCGTTCTTGTTTTTGGCGCTCTTTTGGTTTTCGGCGCCGCCATGGTTTTCGACGATCGTTTGGTCTTCGGCGTATCTTTGGGTTTTCGGCGCTTCCTCGTCGGTTTGCGTTGCCTTTTTTGGTGTTCGTCGGCTCTTTGTTTTCGGCGCCGTTTGGGTCTCGTTGAACCTTTGATCTTGGCGCTCTTTTGGTGTTCGGCGTCCGGTGGTTGTCGTCGCCCTTTGGGTTGGGGTTTGGTGGTTCTTGGGGTTTCGGCATCCCTTTGGTTTTCGTTCTCCTTTGAGTTTCGGAGCGCTTTCGGTTTTCGGCGCTCTGTTCGTATTCGGCGCCTTTTAGGTTTTGGGCGCCTCCTTGGTGGTCGGGTGTTTTGTCCGCTGCTGTGCGCTCTTTTGGATTTCGGCGCGTCTTTGGTATTCGTCGACCCTTGTGTTGTCGGTGGTCTTTTGGTTTTCGGAGTTTTCCTTAAGCCACAGGGGGGAAGGCTTTCCAAGCCACTCTGCTCTTTTAGCCCAACAGGGAGGGAGGCGGGGGGGGCTTCCGGCAGTGATCGTCTAAGGGAAAGGGGCGTCCATGTGGTTTTCGGGGCCGTTCCGGCAGTCGGCGCATCTTTGGTTTTCGGCGTCGCTTTAGTTTTCGGCAATCCGTGGGTTCTTGGGGCATCGTTGGTTTTCGGCGTCTTCGTGGTTTTCTGTGTTCTTGTGGTTTTGTTGCCTTCTTGTTTCCGGCGGTCCTCCAGGTTTTGGCGCATCTTTGGTTCTCGGCGTCCGAAGGTCTTGTTAGCGCTCTGTCGGTGTTCGGCGAATCGAAGGGTTTTCGACGTCTGATAGCTTTTCGGCGCCCTATTGGTTTTCGGCGCTCCTTTGGTTTTCGGCGCCTTCGTAGTGTTCTGCGCCGTCTTGGTTTGTTAGGTTTTTGTTTATTTTCTGAGACTAGTGTTGTTTTCGGCGCTCTGTGTGTTTGCTGCTCCCCTTTGGTTTTCGACGCCCTGGTGGTTATCAGAGCATATGTTGTTTTCGGTGTCTCTTTTATTTGCGGCACCGCTGTGGTGTTCGGTGATTTTTTGGGTTTCGGCGCGGTGTTGGTTCTTTGGTTTGCGGCGCTCGTTTGGGTTTCGGCGCCTTTCTGGTTTTCGGCGGTCCTTTGGCTTTCGTTCTGTTTGGGTTCGTGGCGCCAGTTCGGTTCTCGATGTGCTTTTTGTTTGCGGCGCTCCTTTGGTTTTTGGCGCTCGTTTGGTTTTTGGCACGACATTGGTTGTCTGCGCATGATTTGAGTGTGGCAACCTGTTGGTTGGCGGCGCCCTTTTGGTTTCTGGCGCGCTTTTGGTCTTCGGCATGTTCTTGGTTTCCGGCGCCCTTCTGTTTTCCAGCGCTCGTTTCGTTTTCGGTGTTGCTTTCGGTGGCGCTTCTTTCGTTTTTCGTGCTCCTTTTGGTTTCCGCGCTCTTTCGTGTTTCCGCGCTTTTTGATTTGTGTTATTCCTAACCCTCCTGCTTTGGGTTCTCATTTTGCATAGAGCACTGCGGTCGCACACCTTCTCCCGCCCCGTCTCCCTTTCTCCTGTCTCTCACTTCGCTCTTTCCTGCGTGTTAGCTTGCCTCCTGTCTAGCCATCCCTGGGGGGCTGCGATCTGCGAAAGAGTCGCCACTTTCAAGAATTGCTAGGGGATTCAGCGGATTGGCGCACCACCACCCAGACTCAGACTAGACCTCGCTATCCCTGGGGGGTTGCGATCTGCGAAACCGTCGCCACTTTCAAAGGCTGCTGGGGGGGCCAGCGGAGTGAGGCACCAACCAGGCTCAGATTAGAACTCGCCATCCCTTGGGGGGCTGCGATCTGCGAAACTGTCGCCACTTTCAACGGCTGCTGGGAGGTCCAGCGGAGTGAGGCACCACCCACGCTCAGATTAGACCTCGCCGTCCCTGGGGGGCTGCGACCTGCGGAACTATCGCCACTTTTGAGGGCTGCTGGGGGGTCCAGCGGAGTGGGGCACCACGCAGACTCATATTGGACCTCGCCATCCTTGGAGGGTTACGATCTGCGAAACTGGCGTCACTTTCAAGATTTGCTGGGGGGTTCAGCGGAGTGGGGCACCACGCAGATTCAGATTGGACCTCGCCATCCTTGAGAGGCTGCGACCTTCGAAACTGTCGCCACTTTCAAGAATTGCAGGGGGGTTCAGGGGAGTGAGCCACCACCCAGATTCAGATTAGACCTCGCCAGCCCTTGGGGGGCTGCGATCTGCGAAACTGTCGCCACTTTCGAGGGCTGCTGGGGAGGTCCCGCGGGGCGCTGTCGCGGGCCGCCCGCAGACCTGGCGGCGCGCCTTCGAGTGTTTAGCCTCCGCGTAGAAACATGCAGGAAGGAAGCAGGGAAGCTGGCGGACGAGGCAGAGCTCGCTTGCTTTTTACATTAGCTATAAGTAGGCTGAATTATTTTGTCGAGCGCCGCGGCGTCATGGCGCAGGCAGCGCTGCATCTTCAGCGTACTACCGACAATATCAACCCTCTTCGGTCTCCTCCCGTCACTTGCGTCGTCGTCCTCTGCTCCCAGCCACCTTCCCTCTGATTCTGCCGCGCTGACGGTTCGGCCCCCTGCGCGCCCTTCTCCTGCCATTCGTTCCCGCCCCCATGTCCTCAAGCTTGAGCCCTTGCTCCTCGTCTTTATAATGTTGTCTTGTGGCTCGTGCCACGCGCGCGCACCCCATGTAGGCTGTGCAACATATAACGGCACCTGCACGGTCATTGTCATTGCAGGTTTGGGCCAACTCCTCTTGTCGGTTGATGCAAATGGGTTGGGTACGTCGCATGATAATATGATGGTTTTCGGGGCAGCGTTGGGTTTTTTCCAATTATTTCTGTATTCGGGGCCTGTTCGGGGGGTGGGGGGACCTTCGCTTCCGAGGAACAGGAAAAAAGAGGGGGGGGGCTTCCGGCAAGGGAAGTCCAAGGGCGGGGGCTCCCTCTTTTTAGAAAAGAATGGGGAGGGAGTTGCCGGAACGCGAAAGGGGCGGGGTAGCTTTTTAGGGGCGAGAAAATACGAAGGGGGGGCTTCCAGCAGGGGAGGTTCAAGGGGGGCGGGGCAGCTAAGCCCCCCCCTCCTGTGGAAAGGGAGGGGGATAGCTTCTGGAGCGTGAAATGGGGGCGGGGTACCTGCGGGGGGCAGGAGAGGGGGGAGGGGGCTTGCGGCAGGGCAGGTCCAAGGGGCAGGGGGAGTAGCGAAGGGGAGAGACCCCCTTTTTGGGAGTGCGCCACGGGCGCGCTCTGTCCTCTCTCCCCTGACTCCGTCCGGAAGATTGCCAATTCTCCCCGCGAACTGTTTTACACAGAGTTTGGCAAAAGCGTTTTTTTCTGCCGAGGACTTGTTATTATCCGTTTGTTCTCAGAGTTCCAAAAAATAGTGGTATCGCTGCAGCGCGGGCCTCATTTTCGGATCGGCGCTGTGCTCCCGTCGTTCAAACTGGCGGTGTCGCCCCCCCCCCATTTCCCTTCCGCCGTCCCCTGATCTTCCTGCTCCTCCCGCTCCTTCTATTCCACTTTGTTTGCTTCTGCTGTTCGTCCTCGCCCTCGTCCTTCCAGATCCTCCTTCTGTTCCTTCCGTTCATCCTCGTGCTCACTCGCCACCTCCTCATCCCATGTACGCAACTCCCCCTTTTCAAATGCCCGTAACACGATGGGGTATTTGTGCTCGAGGTCCAGTTCGGCACGCGTCCGCGGGTGGAACATACATAAGTCAGCGCAATTGAAAAAGATTGGAGGGAGGGATAGGATTGGCGCGAGCGCACCGCACCTAGCCCCCTCCCCTGCTCTTTTCCCTCTTCCCCCCTCCCCTCTCGCCCCCCCCCCTCGCTCGAGGGGCCAGGGCTCCCAGACAGGCAGGCGGCTCCCTCCTCCCAACGGGCCGCCGGCAGGTGCTCGACAACAAGACCTCGCAGAATCTGGCCCGCACGCCCGCCCGACAGAGCTCGTCTTTCCGTCGCCATCGTCGTTTTCGATGTCGTCGTCGTCGTCGTCGTCGTCGTCGTCGTCGTCGTCGTCGTCGTCGTCGTCGTCGTCGTCGTCGTCGTCGACGCGAGCAGGGCGCGGAAGCGGCACGGCCTCGCTCCCGCACGGGGGATGCGGAGCAGGGGGAGGAGCACGAGCGAAGGGGAGGCGCAGGTGGAAGCGCAAACATTCGAATAATGACAAACGGCACAAAACGTAAACTGTTGCAGGTCCGCGCGGATGTTTGGGATCTGCGCTGGGACCCGCCTGGTGGCGCCAGGGGCGCTGCCACTGGCGCCGGAGGCGCCTCCAGGTGGCCCCAGCGCAGATCCAAGAAATCCGCGCGGACCTGCAACAGGTGACGTTTATGCTTCTTACTGTTCCTCCAGAAGCGGAAACATGGGTTAAGGCGCGTCGATTAGCGGCGATGCCTGTTTTCGTGTAGGATCGGCGCGCCCCGTGGCCAATTCATGCGGCGGTGGCGGCATTTTTCGTGGGTACCTTCCGCGATCCATGGATCTGGCGCTCCCAAGCAACCCCTGATAGCTTTCGGGCGGCTCTCCAGGCTCCCAGGAGGCCTCCAAGAGACTTCAACGGAGTTCCGAGAGGCCTCCCGAGAGCGCCCGGAAAACCTAAAATCGTTAGTCTTCATGTTTGTTTAATGGTTTTTGGCCTTCTCACCATTTCATGTTTCCAACGCTCCAAGACGGCCGACGAGGCCCCCAAGACCGCCCAGGAGGCCCCCAAGACGGCCCCAAGACGGGCCAAGACGGCCCCAAGATTGCCGAAGAGACGCCCCGGACAGCTCCAGACCACCCCAGAACAGGCCCAACATGAGCCCAAGAGCGGGAGCAGGAGGCCGCCAGAGACTTCTGAGAGGACTCCGGGACCCCCCAGAGGCCTCCAACACACCCCAGACCCTGAGAGGCTGCCCAAAAAGGCACGACGAGTCCCCCAAAACGGCCCAAGAGAGCTTCGAGAGCCGTCCCGAGAGAGCCCGAAGAGGGTAACATCGTTGCTTTCAAGTGGTTTTTCATTATTTCTGTTCGCCTTCTCACGTTTTCTGGCTTCCAGCGCTCCAGGATCGAGGATTTTTGTTTAAAGGAGTTTCAGATATTTGTTTATTCAACAAATGCGCGCCCCCTCCTCCCAGGGGTCCCACACCTTCCCGGAACATCTGCGGAACGCTCGCGGTACCGCGCTTCCCTACCTCCCGGGGAGCCTCCAAAACGCCCAAGGACAGCCCTAGACGACCCCAAGAAGCCCCCAGAACGTCAAAGAAAGTCCCAAGACGCTCCCAAGCAACCCCTGATAGCTTTCGGGCGGCTCTCCAGGCTCACAGGAGGCCTCCAAGGGACCTCAAGAGAGCTCCGAGAGGCCTCCCGAGAGCGCCCGGAAAACCTAACCTCGTTAATTTTCATGGTTTTTGTTTCATGGGTTTCGGCCTTCTCACCATTTCATTCTTCCAAGGGTCCAAGACGGCCGAAGATGACCCAAGACCGCCGCGAGACCGCCCAAGAGGCCCCCAAGACGGCCCCAAAACGGGCCAAGACGGCCCCCAGACTGCCAAAGAGGCGCCCATGCTCCAGATCACCCCAGAACAGGCCCAACATGAGCCCAAGAGCGGGAGCAGGAGGCCGCCAGAGACTTCTGAGAGGACTCCGGGACCCCCCAGAGGCCTCCAACACACCCCAGACCCCTGAGAGGCTCCCAAAAAATCCCCGACGAGGCTCCCAAAACAGCCCAAGAGAGCTTCGAGAGCCGTCCCGAGAGAGCCCGAAGAGGGTAACATCGTTGCTTTCAAGTGGTTTTTGTAGACTTGTTTCGCCTTCTCACGTTTTCTGGCTTCCAGCGTTCCAGGATCGAGGATTGTTTTCGTTTTTTTAAGGAGTTTCAGATATTCTTTTTTATTCAACGAATGCGCGCCCCCTCCTCCCGGGGGTCCCACAATTTCCCGGAACATCTGCGGAACGCTCGCGGTACCGCGCTTCCCTACCTCCCGGGGAGCCTCCAAAACGCCCAAGGACAGCCCTAGACGACCCCAAGAAGCCCCCAGAACGTCAAAGAAAGTCCCAAGACGCTCCCAAGCAACCCCTGATAGCTTTCGGGCGGCTCTCCAGGCTCCTAGGAGGCCTCCAAGAGACCTCAAGAGAGCTCCGAGAGGCCTCCCGAGAGCGCCAGGAAAACCTAACCTCGTTCATTTTCATGGTTTTTGTTTCATTCTTCCAACGGTCCAAGACGGCCGAAGAGGACCCAAGACCGCCGCGAGACCGCCCAAGAGGCCCCCAAGACGGCCCCAAAACGGGCCAAGACGGCCCCCAGACTGCCAAAGAGGCGCCCAGGACAGCTCCAGATCACTCCAGAACAGGCCCAACATGAGCCCAAGAGCGGGAGCAGGAGGCCGCCAGAGACTTCTGAGAGGACTCCAGGACCCCCCAGAGGCCTCCAACACACCCCAGACCCCTGAGAGGCTCCCAAAAAATCCTCGACGAGGCTCCCAAAACAGCCCAAGAGAGCTTCGAGAAGCGTCCCGAGAGAGCCCGAAGAGGGTAAAATCGTTGCTTTCCAATAGTTTTTGTCGACGTTTTTCGCCTTCTCACGTTTTCCCGTTTCCAACGCTCCAGGATCGAGGAATTTTGAAAAAAAGGGAATTCCAGAGATTCTTTATTTTTGTTGTTCAAGTTGGGACTCCTACTCCCTATCCTCTTCCTCGAGCCCCATCAAGACTTCGGGGTCACATGCAAAAATGTTTCGGGAATGCTGTTGAACTCTCCTGAAGCTGTCTTGGCACTCTCTTGGATCGTCGTAGTGTCCTCTTGGCTGCCCCTGAAACCACCGTAGAAGTCGAGATCCCGTGAACCCACGAGTTGAAACAAAGTAAGTTTCCTTTATTTCGAACTCACCACCTGCTTGTTTTTGCACGGAGACCCGAGAGGCAACCCAACGGACCGTGGTTTGTATCCAGAACATTTCTAACCCACAGCCCAGGCAGGGCAATTTGAAAAACATGGGAACCCCACAATTCCTAAGTTGTCCGACCTCGTCCCCTGTCTACTCTACTCTTGCACAACAGACCACAATGAAGGCCCCGCTCAGCTCCCAGAAAAGAAACCAGGAAGCCGTTGACGGCCCCAGATCGTTAAATACCTAACGGAATGAGTGATTTCTGCGTTTCCGCAGTTCCTCTCCTATGCGGTTCCGAGGCTTGCGCAGGGCCTCCAAGAGAGTCCTTGGATACGAGAAGCGATAGAAATGATATTCCATGCGTTTGCCCATCAAGCTTAGCTAGAACTTGAGCGCGCGCGAAGCGCGCGCGATGGTGTATATATATATATATATATGGACATACAGACAGGTATGCCAATATTACGTACATGTTCATGCATGAGCATATACATATATATATATATGTATACACATGCACATCCATATGTACATTCATACACTACCCATACTCATACTCATACACATACACATACACAGACACACAGACATCATATATACATGCACGCATGCATGCATGCATGCATGCACACGTACATACGTGCATGTTCGCATACATACATACATATACACGTACGTACATACACACATACATGCATGCATGCATACATGCATGCATGCATACATACATACATACAGACAGACAGACAGGCAGGCAGACAGACAGACATACATATTCTACATCTCACAAGTGAGTTCAGCGTAGATGGTGTCGACATGGAGCCTGAATTTTCCTACGTCGATGGCGCCGCTATGTCGACGATGTCGCCGATGCATCATCGACGCATCGCCGATGTATCGCCGATGCATCGCCGATGCACTTGCGATGCGGCGCGATCCTTCGACCCCATCTAGGAGGCCTCTAAAGATAGGGCCCGATGTTGCAACTTTTACCTCAATTTACGTCGTGCAGGGATCGCCGCCCACGTGGGCGAGGGCCGGGCGGGGGGTGCCCCGCGATGCTCCGCCGCTGGGCCTCGCCAGACGCCCCCTCGTGGCGCCCGCGGCTGCCAAGCCTGACTTCAGCCCAGCCGTCTCCCTGGCTGCATCCTCCCTCTCCAGAGCAGTCTCCTATTCCTCCGTTCGGATCTGACGTTGCAGAAAAAATGCAACATCGCAAACAATCACCACCGCAGCCCCGGACTCCATCTTTCGGCTATTTGTTTTAAGCCGGATCGATATGTGAGGGTCCCGGGGCACGTCTCCGGGCAAGAAATCGCCCGTTGCGAAACAGATGCGTCGCCATGATTTCGGGTTTTGTTTTCGCCTCCCTAATTTCCGCTCCATCATGCAACTGGCTTGCACCCCAGATATCCGGCCGCTTCAATTTCTTCGATGCGTGGGCCCCGGAGGTCTGGACCAGTTTTCTGGGGCTGGTTTTCGTCCTGAGTTGTTTTTTTGACGCTCCCGAGGCCTGGCGTGGGCCCGCTGTGATCAAAAACTGCCAAAATCCCGCTGCTCAATTTTTTATTCCAGCGTCAGATCTCTGGCATCATCCCGTCCGCCGACCCCCTGTCGCAATGTTTTCGCCCCCTCCACGGCGCCCGCAGGCCATCCAGTTCGGGCAGCTGCCCCCGCCCGAGCGGCTCGCGGCCATCATCGCTGGCCTGGACCGGTTCCCCGAGTGCCTGCCGTCGCAGGCGGGCGCTCGTCGTCGGCGGCCAGGGACTCAGGTTTCGGGGCTCAGGAGGCGGGTGTCAATGCGGACGGCGTCAGCCAGAGCGCCAGATCTTGCAGGATCCTGCAGAGCCAGGGTTGCACTGACTTGGGTTTGGATGCCCGATCCTGCAGGATCTTGCAGGATCCTTCAGGGCTTGACTGACCCGGGTCTTGGTTGACCCGAGTCAGTTGATCCTCGAGGGTTCAAGTAGGAGATCGACTCCAGAATTGATTAACCCCGCCATTTTTGCTTACTGAGTCTACAACAAATAACTTGTTCGTGTGCTGGAAGATTTTACATATCGTTCTTGGATTCGGCGGGAACACATCAGCGCCGCATCGCCGATGCATCGGCGATGCTGCGCGATGTGGAGCTCGATTTTCTCTCCGCCGACGTCGCCGCTGCATCGCCGACGCATCGCCGATACATCGGCGATGTGGTGCAATCATCCGACCCCATCTAAGCATACCCCCACTTAGGAGGCCTCTAAGTTCTGTTCATTTTGAACAGGACTCGCTGACAGTGTCGCCGTGGACGTCGTCCGTTCGCGACAGGAAGTTGCCTCCCCAACAGCGGCCACTGTTAATTTGGGATTACATTTGTTATGGGACATTGTTCCAAGTTTTATCGTACCCATTTCTCACCTCGCCCGCTCTCGACAGACAAAATACATTTTTCGCGCATACACACATGACATCAAATGTAGGTTTCGATGCCATTTGGTTTTCGATGACCCTGTGTATAAGTTTGTGTCTCCTGTGGCCCGTCTGGTTCGCGCACCAGCGCCCGCTGCGCTTTCGCGATCTCTCCCCCTACGCTGTTCCAAGTGAAACGCACCCCATGTCGCAACATGTTTCATCACTTTCTTTCTCTGGCGCACGTACTCCTGGTCGTATGTTTCCTGTTCCGTGTCTTTTCCCTCCTTCTCCGTGCGTTTGTTTTGCTGTTCGGCTCCCCCCCACTCCTGGTGCTCGCTAGGCCCAACCGCGAGTGGGGCGATCCATCCGTGTTTGGGACGAGCGGCCGACGGGATGGAAGTCAGGGGGACTACCGGGTCGGCGCTTCGGGATGACCCAAAACAGTCGAGGAAGTAGCACGGGAGGAATGGGGAGATACTCTCGGTGCGACTTGCCAGTACGGTTACGAGGTGCACGCAATGAAAAGAAGAGGAGGATATCGAGGACGCGCATGCATGTCGCCAGAAGTGCGCCATTCGTGCCGCCGTTCGTGTCGCCGTCAGTGCCGCTATTTGCGCCGCCGTCAGCGTTGCCGTTCGAGTCGCCATTCGTGTCGCCGTCAGTGTAGCCGTGTAGCTTTCGTGTCGCCATTCGTGTCGCTATTGGGGCTGGGGCCTTCTTGGGATCCGCTCGTGGTTTCACGTAGAGCATTTTTTCAGACCCAAGACAGCCCGCAGAGGCCTCCAAGAAGAGCCCCCAGAGAGTCCAACTACGCCAGGAGTAGTTGGATGCAATAGTTTCCATTGCATTTTCGCATCTGGAGCTCCTTCAAGTCTCCGGGACGGCCCTTGGCGGTTTTCTGAGGGCCCCCAGAGGGCCGAAGAAGCTTCCTAGAGGCCTCCTAGAGAGCCCCAGAATGATATACAAAAGTGGCACCACAGGTGACCGCTTGCCTCAACCACGTGCCTCCCTGCGAGGTGCGTCGCCGAGCATGCCATCGCCACGGCGCCATCCCTCCCCCTGGATGGACAACGCCCGTTGGGGAGCTTGGCGCGCCTTGGAATCCATATTTGCGCCTTCGGGGATGGGGCGGGGGGGGGGGGCTCGCCCCGCCCCCTATGCCTGACGGGCGGCGAGGCACATTCCCTGACAGAGGACGCGCTCATATGTGTTATCAATTATTTCGCAAGGGGGTTCAATTCATGTAGTGTCGGTCTGATTCTTCTCCCATCCTGGGACGAAGTGATATTTCGGATATGCAAAAAGAGGGAACGCATCGGCCTCCAATCGCGAACTGATCGTCGATAGGAGCTTAATGGCACCACCCCGCCCAGGAACGTGCGGATTCGCTATCGGGGGCCTGTCGCTATACCGGCGATCTAATATCGCCGATTCCGGATCGAGAATTCCCCCCCCTGGGCCAGTCCCCACTTATCGTTGTCCCCTCACGAGGGTCGAGCTGTTTGGGCACCGGGATCTGGGACTATCCAGGAATCCAGGACGCCAGGATCGTGGGCGGTCTGGGGGGGCTCGTTTTCGGGCCTCTTGGGCGCCAGTACTGGGCCCAGTGACCGCCGAAACACGTCTCGGGCTGAGAAGCAGGCCCAGGGGGAATGGTCCAGACCTCATGGGGGTCCTCGGGTCCAGACGTCGGGCGCCTCTTTGGGAAGCAGATCGCAATTCCGAGCGTCTGCGCGGGAGGGGTGGCAGGGGCCCTGACACCCTCGCTTGGTTCAGAAATCGTGACGAAGTGTTTTGGCAAGTTTCGGCTTCGGGGAACCCTCACTGGGCCACGAGGATGTCAAGCCAAGACCCGAGATGAAGAATCGGCCCCATGGGAAGATGTCCAGACTTCGTGGGAACCACGTGTTGAACAAAAAGTGCGACGTCGGATGTCTTGGAATTTCGAGTCCCTGCTCCCTCTCCCTCTCCTTCCCTCCCTGCAGGGCGTGCTCTCGTTGAACGCCGCCGTGAGCGAGCAGGAGCAGTACATCCAGCAGATCCGTGAGCTGAAGGCGGGGGGCCGCCCGCCGCGGAGGGGTCGTGGCCGACGGGGCCTGGGGCAACGCGGAGGAGCCAGGATAGGATTTTCGACCCCCGACGCCAGAGGAGGAAGAGGAGGAGCAGAAAGAGGAGGATGAGGAAGGGGAGGAGGAGGAGGAGGAGGAGGAGGAGGAGGAGGAGGAGGAGCGGTGAGGAGGAGGAGCGAGGAGATGAAGGGGAGGATCGAGGGTCGATTCAGGCGGTTGCTTTTGGGGGGAGCTTGACTTGAGGGATTGTCAATATTGCACGTGGAAGTGTTTGGGACATTTGTCGTGTCCAAGAGGTATCAAGCGGCCTCCGGTCCATCCCAGAACCATGCATGGGTTGCATAGGTCAGAAGCCTATTGGATATCTGTTGGGATCTCTTGGGAGTCCTTTCGGAAGCCTCTTGTAGGAATGCGCGTGTTGTCAGAGGGCCGCATGGGGTTTCTTGGGGGCCTCTTGGGCGCCTGCTGGCGGTCGGTCTCGGGGGTCGTCTTCGAGTGGAGATCTCGAAATGTCAATTCGCGATCCCCTCGTCGGCCGCCTCGGGGGCCTCTTAGTTTGTTTTGGTGGTGCCTTGGGTCGTCTTGGGGCGATCCTGGGGTCCGCTTGGGGAGAGCATCGGGGTCCCGGAATGGTGAGAACACTAACACGTTCCAGTCATTACTAACATTCCCCTCGCCTCTTTCTGCTGCCCTCCATTCTTTTCCTTTGCAGAGTGTTGGTAGGGCATGGATCATACAGAGGGACTGTCTCCGCAGCTGTGTGTACAGTTACTCAGAGCAAAAAATAGCGCGCCGGCCGACAGGGTGGGCGGGCCACGCGTGCGTATACATTCACATTGCATCTTTGTTTAGAGGAACTCCGCTTAACGGACTTACCCTGCCATGCGCTCACCAGCTCGTAGCGGGAGGTTAGCTTCTCATGAGCTATAAGCTGAAGATCAACAAGCAGAACAACCCATTAATTCTAACCCACGTTTGCCTACCTTGACGTTAGATAGGCAAAACACCGGTTATCAGCCGAAAATTCTTCCGCGAGGCCAGGGGGCACCCCCTTCAGGAAGTGACGATAATGATGTCTGCGGCACGCTGGAACATCCACACGGCTTTGGAGAAGCGGCAGAGGTCGTCGTCCAATATTCACACGATGTCAGGGATCCGACCTTACGCTCCTCGCAGAGAGCGAGCGTCGACATTTCTGTCTCCGTGCCCAGTGGCGAAAGCTCCCTGGTACGACGGCGCGCGCCTAGACCGGAGGGTGATCCTAATGAAGGCAATGGCGTACCATGTATCGATATATCATAGGAAAATGATGACGCCAACCCTTTCCTCGCTGACGTCCACTGCTAACCGCGACAAACTTGATGGGGAAAGTCGTCGTCAAACGGATGGTTTCGACGAGCCGTTCAGCCAGGGCCACGACATCCCATCCAGTTCAGAACTCGACGCTGCGGAAGATCCCCGCGTCGAAACGCCCCCTGGAGATACCCCGAGGACGCCGACGGCGAAACGACCCAGAGACGACGCGAGTCTGTCAAGGTCTCCATTGATCAAACGATCGAGAACAGTGAGTCCGCCAGAAGAGTCGCGCGGTTCGAGTTAAAAAGTAGCCGTAGAGCGAGACGCGACCCGCGCGACGCCTCCATCACCCGCAGGAGCTGCGGCGAGATGCTCGGGGCGTTTGGGGGCAAGCCCCGCCAGGGCTGCCATCTTGAGGACTCGGTCGCCGAGGGCCCGCCCTGGAGCGCCCGCGAGGCGACGGGGGCCCCGAGCGACGTCGAGGGCGTCATTGCGATCGGCATGCGCGGCCCGCTCGAACGAATCAAGCTGCCAAATGCTTGACGCATGGTTTCGCAAAGTGGTCGGCTGTGCCGAAGTCCCCGAGTTCAGATGTCTGGGATTGCTTGGCAAGTGCCAGAAACCTGTGTGCTCGGCGTGATCAATGTGCTGCCCGCAATGCAACCTGAGCTCCCTATGCCCCGGCTGCCTGACTCCATGCGCGCCACTCCGCGTCGCCTTCCGTCGCCGAGAATGGGAGGAGATGCGAGGGGGGAAGCGAGCGAGCACGATGGGGGATCGGAAAAGAGAAATGGCGCACATGCAAGAACAGGTCAGGACTGCGGAGCTTGAGCAGAGGGCGGCGGCCAGGCTGCAAATAGAAGAAGACCGCCAGGCCGCGACTCGGGCTCTGGAGCCATCAGAGGAACGCCTGCGCACTTTCACGACCGAGAGAACTTAATTGGCCGTTGTTGAAATGGCAGATATGGCTAACCGACCCGAGGCAACATAGGCGGCAGAAAAGCAGGCGCGCTTTTGCGGAGGCCATTGCTGAGAAGGCCGCCCTCGCTCTTCTGGGGGCCAGTCAAATCGGCCAGCGGCAGTGGACCAGCTTGCCGCAGAACCCAAGGCCGTTGCGACACGCGACGCAGAGTTGATTTCGGAAGCCACCGTTCAGATTCAGGAGGCGGCCGCTGGGAAGAGGGCTGATATCGAAGCGGCAAGCTGCGCGCCGCGGATGAGCGCGGCCCTGCTGCGTCGGGCCAGAGGCGAAGTCCATGACTCGCAACAGCGGGCATGCCATCGCCTTGAAATCAAAAGCTACATCTGTGCGCGCGGTTGTCGAGGTTAAGAATTTCGATGGTGAGGCAGGAAACCAATGCCAACTTGGGTGTCGCACCTTCAGCGCGGAAGCGGCCGCGACTCATGCGCTGAGATAATGCGCGGCACAACGCGAGGCGCTGCGTCGCAAACTGTTGGGGCCACGCATTCGAAACGGAACGAATTGAGAGAGAATGCGTCCGAGAAAAAGCCGGCCCCGCCAGCTTAAACGCCGAGCGGGGCTGCAGGGTCAGGCGAGGAGGCGCGCCCGCCAGTCCGCTTCGCGGTAGGCGCTGGTTCGTTGATGTGTTTCTTCTGCACAGAGAACGCGGCTCGCGATTGTCAGTGCTGCGCGAGCGCCCAGCGTAGAGATATCTTCGGCCAGGAGGGGAACCGATGCGCAACCTGTCTCGCCGCGTCCGCTCGCGGGGAACAGGGGGCGGAAGACAGGAGAGGGGAAGAAAAGGAATTTGTGCGTGAGAGGAGGATGAAGAAATGAAGAGCGCGTTGCCGCCCAAACTACGCCAGGCGCATGGCCATTCGACTGTCGACCCATTGCCAGGAGGCCCCGCGGTGACGCCGCGGCCTCCACAGAGCAAAGGACATATAATGAGGTCGTTCGACGCTTGCGGGCGCTCGAGGACAGTGCGATGGCCGAGCCCAGGAAGATGACATCGATGCTCCGCGAAGCAGAAAGAAACGTGGAACGCCGCGCTGCAGCCAACGCGCGGAGACGGCGCGCAGAGAGGCGTGCTGAAGCCGCGCTGTTTGCCGAAAGCAGGGAGATGGAGAAGAGGAGTGGCCAGGGATGATGACGATCGTCGCAGAAGGAAGCGAACATAACAGATCGACGCGGGGGCAGCGCTTGTCACGAGGTTCCCAGGCGATGCTCCTCCTAACCCTCGAAAGCCTGGGGGCGGCGACGACAACGGCGGCGGCGCGGTCGAAGGGGGGAGTCCGAGGATTCTATCCCCAGAGATGCTGCCCCCACCGAGAAGAAAGGTTCAGGCCCGCCTGATGACGGCATAGGCGATTCCGATGACGACTCAGAATTGGAACCAGAAGATTCTGAGAACGAGGGCGATGAATATTCGGGCGAAGAGGCGAGCGACCCTCCGCCAGGCGACGGAAATCCAAGATTTCTCCCGAACAATGTTCCAGGGTCGGCTGGCGCGTGGACAGACGTGGGAAAGACAGACGCGGTCGTCCTGGATCCCAGGCCGGATGCCAGTGGGTACAGGAAATGGATGAGGAACGTTGTGCGGCTTGTCTCGTCTAGCTCTACGCAGTGCGTGGTTGTCGGGGCCCCGTCAGCCCTTTGTCCTCCTGCCCCTCTCTCTGCGCTCCCCTGCGCGCCGCTATGTCGGCTCACAGGGGCCCTTGAGCTACCTCTTGCGCCATCTCGAGGCCATCTTGGGCGTGTTGGAACGCTCTTGGGCCGTCCTGGGACCATCTTGGATTATCGCAGGGGTCTCCGAGGACGCCATCGGGCAGTCGCGGCGCTCTCTGGCCTCCGCGGTCGTGCCCGGAAAGCGGCTGAAGGCAACCAGATCCCAGTGTTGTGGGCCCCGTCGAATGTGCAACGCTTCATAGTCAGGGCAAGTGATTCTCAAGGGCTTGAGGGCATTCCACCACGTGCCAAGGCACGGTGGCGGATTCGAGGGGAACGGCAAACACTGCTTGATCGAATATGCTTGGTTCCACTATCCAAAGGTGCACTCGATGCGATCGAATTGGCTTCCCTGCTGTGTGGACGAGTGCTTTGAACTGTCGCCTGATGCGTGCGGCACGTTCATCAAGTGAGATCTGGCCTGCCGGCAGGGGCCCCACGGGTTGAGGGCGCGGCCAAGAGGGGGGTGATGGCCACAGGGGGAGGTGGACGTCATGGCCGAGGCCATGATATCGCTCCGGATTCTATGACCCACTCTCATCGCTTTATTTTCCTTGGCCGCCCCCATTCCCCAGGCCGCGCAGATGCCTCGGGTCATGATTTGCGGGGCCCCCTTTAGGACACCCCCCGTTGGACCCCTCGCGGATTTCATTTCATTCCGCGATTGCCTTGCGGACCCACGGGGCACGTGCCGCTTTCGAGCAGCGATGGGAGATCAGTCCTTCGATGTTTCGTAGCAGCATTTCTTGATTATCGTATGCGCATCATGTGATTACTGTCCTCAGAATTGCAGGTGCCAGCCCTTCTTCTCACCAGGACCTGATGCTTATTGTGTATTTACTCGTTCACATAATCTAGCCTCCAAATCGTATACTTCCTTGCCTTTCTTCCTCCTGGTCGCCACCGTGATCGTTTTGGCCGCGCGTGGGACTTGAATCAAGTCGCCTGCAGTCGCAGAGAGCAAAGCTTGCCACCGATCCAGGTCCAATCTTTGGCACAGGTGCCGCCTTGGCCACGTCAGGAGGCCGCATACACTCATCTTGTGCCCAGGTCGGACCTGGCCGAGATCTCCGTATGGGGATACTTGGCGTCCTCTGTACGCAGGATAGCGACTCCCTCCAGTGTGAGCGCAACTTGCTACCGTGTGGAGTGGTCCGAGGTTTGAGCAGAGGGAGCGGACGAAGCCAGAGGACATTCCATCGGGATTCGAAGTTTCAGGGTCGAGGTTCGAGGATCGAGATCCAAAAGACCAAGGGCCAAGGCTTCGAAGTTCGAGGGGTGACGGTGGCGCTTTAGGTTACCCGTGCCAGGATCGAGGAACGAGATTTTCGGATGTGTGTTTTTTCGTTTTGGGCCTCGGAGACTTCTTGATACTTTTGGAGCAAGGGGCCTCCCGAGATCCCTGGAGTCATTGGAGACAGCCGGAGACTTCTGGAGACGTAGACCTGTGGCGATCGAAGAAATCCTTTTGGAGGTTTGTGATTGTGTACGTATGGCTTTCCCGTTTCTGACACCCAGAATAGCTGGTCCTTGGAAGGGGTCCAGAGCCGCAGGGGGTGTCGACTCGTCAACATCGAGCTGTCAGATGTGGGTCCCCCACCTGCTCCGTGCTCTCACCATCCGTCCTTCCTCCCTCGCTCCCTCGTGCATCTCTCCTTTCTCCTCTCGACCTCCCTCCCCTGCGGTGGCCATGAATCAGAGGGTCAGTGTGCACCGTCGGTGTCGCCGCCAAGCCACGCCAGGTCTTACTAAATACCCGCTATTCGCTCCCAGTTTCGCACTGCACCGCGGGTCCCAGGGATGCGTTATTCGCCGTAGGCCGTTTACTGATGGCCCCAGGGCCCGAAATTGTTTCCGACAGGCAAACCTGAAGGACAGACCGTCACAACGTTCTGTTCGTGACGCTGGACATCGGGGTTCTTAAGGCATGATCCCCCGACCAGTTCTGGGGGACGCTCTGAGCAAAGTCGAGGCGGATCCAGCCGTGGCGACTAGGGTACCCCAGGCGTTCCCTCGGTTCTCGATCTCAAATACCAGCAACAATTTCTCGATGTCATCCCCGATCGAAACAGACCTCGATCCTCGATCTCGCTTCTCGACTCGAGCGCACTATATGCCAAACATAGGCCCAAGATCCTGAATTCTCGACCGTCCTCCGCCTGCTGCTCCTGGGGAGGACAGCGATGAGCGAGGTGCAGCAGGTTCGCGCCGCTCTGAAGCGGCGGTGGCCTTGGCGTTTGCGTTACAGGCTGATCGCCGCCAGCGGCCTTGCGTCGGCCGGTATCAAGCGAACGCCGCTGTCGGAAAGCCGCGGTCGTTCCATGTAGAACGATCCATTCGGTGCCAGAGGCAAGCTTTTACGTCTTTACGTCATCGCGATTTTAGCCTCCGTGCTTCGCAGTTCGAGCAGGCCGGCCCGCTCTGTGAAGTAGGTATCGTCTCAAATACTGGGTCTGCTGTTGAGGTGGAGCCGTCGCTCCTGCCGGGCGCGAACGCACGAAAAGGGTGCCACTCATGTCAGACAGTTCATGTTGGATCATTGTGCTCGAGGCGCCCGAGATCATTGCAGGTTGTTTTGAAGTCAAGTTTGATTTCAAGAGATTTGCAGGACGGCGATCCCCGGCGCGGGAAGAGGGAGGAGGGAGGGAGTGAGGGAGTGAGGAGGCAGTTGGAGCAGGAGGAGGACGAAGCCTGGAGGAGAGTGGGGGAGCCAGGAGGGAGGAGGCAGGAATGTGGAGGACGCGGACGGTGATGATAATGATGATGATGATGATGATGATGATGATGATGATGATGATGATGATGATGATGATGATGATGATGATGATGGTGATGGTGATGGTGATGGTGATGGTGATGGTGATGGTGATGATGAGGATGAGGATGATGAGGATGGGTGATGACGCGGACAATGTTTTGGTTGATGGCGAGGTTGTTGATGCTGGTGATGAGGGTAATGGGTATGATGATGTTGATGATGATGAAGATGATGATGACGGCAATAATGGTGATGTCGATGCAAAGGACGTGACAATGATAACCGAGCACGGGCGATAGTAAAGCATACCCCCCCTTCACTCCCTCTATTTGTATTATCCCCGTCAAACAGTATTTAATTGTGGAGAGGGGCGTGGAGGCCGAACGTTATAATCCACGGGGAAAGTTGTGAATCGAAGTTGGTATCATCTCACGCTGACTAGCAACAGCATCAACAACGGTGAGCATGGCCATGGTGGTTTCCTCACGCCAGCGTCCACAATCACGAGCGTTTGGCAGGGCTGTGGGATTCTCACCAGTGCAGTTTGCCCAAGTTACGAACGTGCGAACGTGTGGCCGTTCCCGAGTCAGGAACGTGTGGCAGGGCCATGGGGACCGATTGGATTGTGATTGTGCATGCGTTTTTCGAGCAGGCACAGCACTGGAATCAACTACTTTTTTAGCGCACCCCTCACACGGTTCGTGGCCTTTCCTCCTCCTCGTCCTCCTCTGCCCCCGCAGCTGCCCAGGCCCGAGGTTCCCCGAGTCTCCGAGCCTCCAAGTTTTCGAGCCTCTTCGAGGCGCCGAGCCTCTTCGCCCCAGGGGCAGCGCATCATCATCATTGCCACCATCCCCGGGAACATATCTTATTATCCCCGCCAGAGCCCCAAACTTTCTTATCCCCGGGGTACTTGTATCCCCCGCGCTCGGTTAATTATGATGTGGATGATGCCGATGATGGCGGTGCCGGCGGTGATGGTGATTAGCGCGGCGATGGCTATGAAAATTATAGTGCCGATGGTGATGACGATGACGATGATGATTATGATCACTATGAGGACCATGAGGTTAGTCATCCTGCTGGTCATGGATATGGTGATCATGATGATGGCGACGGTGGTGGTGATGGTGCTGATGATGATGGCGGTGATGGTGACGATGGCGACGGTGATGATGGCGACGATAACGATGCTGATATTGGCGATGACGCGGCGAATTACGGTGATGGTTATGTGGATGGTGACGATGCGGATGACGATGGTGATGCTGATTATGATAATGCTGAAGGTGATGATGGCTATGATGGTGGTACTGAAGATGGGGATAACTAGTGCGATGGAGGTGGCGGTGGCCACGTCGTCAGGATGGTGCGCTGGACCAACCCGCGCCCGCACCCCCACGTGAGGTGGCGGAGGCGGGCCTTTCGAAGCTAGACTTGCCCGAGCGCTACCTCTGGGCGCGCGCCACCGCGCCGTCGCCGCGGCGGGGGGGGGGGCGGGGAAACCTGCGTTCCCCTTCGGAAGGAGTAGTGCGAGGGGAAGGATGATGATGATGATGATGATGATGATGATGATGATGATACTGATGATGATGATGGGGAGGAGGAGGAGGAGGAAGAACGCAACAGTTTTTGTGCTCACGTTTGTCCAGAACGAAAACGGTGATAGGAGGAGGACGCGGAAGAGGAGGATGGAGGAGGAGGAGGAGGAGGAGGAGGAGGAGGAGGAAGGCGGGAGGAGGACGACGAGAGGGTCGAGGTGGACGAGGGGGGAGGACGAACAGGGGGAGTTGTAGGAGGGGGAGGAGGAGGAGGAGGAGGAGGAGGAGGAGGAGGAGGAGGAGGAGGAGGGGCAGGAGGCAGAAAACTAGGAGGACGACGGGGACGAGGGGTGAGGACGAGGAGGACGAGGACGAAGAAGAACTCACGGATGAAACATATAAACATACATGTTTGAAGTTCCGTGCGGATTTCTGGGATCGGCGTTTGGACCCCCTTGGCGCGTTCCGTGCGCCAGGGAGGAGGGTCCAGCGCCAACTTCGAAAGTTTGTTTTCTTTTGCAATGTGTTTTTTTTCGATCCTCCCCGTCCTTGCGCGTTCCTCACCCGAATCCGCAGCAACGTAGAGCTTCTCTTGCCGAAGAAGGACGGGGGAGGAGGGACCCCGCGTGGAGCGCCAGCGGTCGTCGCTTCGGCGACACCCGCTGCTGCCAGGTGCTCGGCTCCGTGCCGCTGTGCTCGGCGAAGCTGGCGCGCGCAGCGCCCCCTGCCTCTCGCTTCGTGGGGGCGTCATCCTCCTCCCTCCTACCCCTCGTGTCTCCTCCTCCTTCTTCCGCATCGTCCCTCCTCTCCTTCCCTCTTCCCTTTCCCTCCACCTTCTCCTCCTCCTCCTCCTCTTGATTAACACTTTGCCTCAGAGGATCTTCGGTTCCAGCGTTCAGGTTCGGCACAAGCTAGCTGCAGTGTTGATCGACACTTGTCGCGCATAGCCCATCAGCGGTTAGAGGTCTCGCCCAAAAGTATATGTGTGATCTTCCATGTCCGGCGCAGAGTATGCTGTCCGTCCTCTGTCTCGCAGTGGTTATTCCGAGAAAGCTGCGTCTCAGGCGGGATCTCTGGGGACGGATGTAGGCGGAGGAAGAAGGATGGCAAAAGCCAACAAGGTGAAGCGAATCGTCAAGGCAGCCCCGATGCATTCAGCAGCCGTTCGATCTGCCAGAGTTTCTAGGACGTACCGCACCACTGCCAAGCTGCAGCGAACAGGAACTACTCTAGCTGCAGCACAGCGTGCACATGACATTCACAGATATTCGGGTCGGCGATGGTTCGCTGTCGCTGGCAGATGTGCGCGGTGTTTGGTGGCAACAGGCGTGGCAGATGGTGAACCTCCTTGCTAGGGGTAAGAGTTCCAGGAGGCGGCCCAGCAGTGGCTTTATCAGTTGCGTGCCTCGCTTTTAGGCTGAAGCAGTGCCCTATTACATCGGCGAGTAGACCAGGTATGATAAGGGATTGAGTCTCTAGCGTTTTAGGATGGCTGCTCCTGGGCGTCGGTCACGGTTAGTGCGAGGGCTGTCTGGGGCTGTGATATTATCTCTTTGAGGCTGGTTGGGGCCCACAGCGGTCTGATTTCTGGAAAGCTAGTGAGGGCGATCTTGGAGATTTGGAGAGGCTTGGACATATTTCGAGGAAGAATGCGCGAGGAACCTTATTCAGGATTCCCCGAGTCCGCTGCTGCAAGATTTCATCGGTTGTATGCGTTTGAAGCTTTAGAGGGGTGTTGCCTCGCACTGGTGCGGGGAGGGAATGGAGGATGTGGTAGACAATCATTATCTTTGCGGTCTTTTGTTCCAGCTTTGTAAGGTGGGCTGGAGGGACAGGGTTAAAACGATAGTGTTTTCCATAAAGCGTTACGGGAAGGTTCCGCACTGTTTTTATATTCTTGAGTGTTGGATGCACCATGCGAGCACGGAATCGTATGCATTCACCAGAAAAGCGAGCAATCTTGTTCCCCAGTCAGGGCTTGTCTCTGTAGGGGTCCTAGCGGATTAAAGGGTTAGGTGAGGTTTGTCGCCGATTTCGGTGGCCGGGCCCGGGTGCCCGGGTGCCCGACGGTGCCCTGGTGGCCGGTGAGGTGCGTGGCCGATTTCGGTGCCCGGGCCCGGGTGCCCGGGTGCCCGGGGGTGCCCGGGTGCCCGGGGGTGCCCGGGTGCCCGGGGGTGCCCTATAGCCCTATAGCCCTATAGCCCTACAGCCGTATAGCACTATGGTTCTATAGCCCTATAGCTCTAGAGCCCTGGAGCTCTATAGCCCTATAGCCCCATAGCCCTAAGGTTCTATAGCCCCTATCGCCCAATAGCCCTATATCACTATACCCCTATAGCCATATAGCCCATATATCCCCATTGCCCCAACAACAATCTGATTGGGTTTTTTTCTCCGGTCTCATTATAATGAGCATCTGAAGTTCCGTTTGTGCAAACAATTATTTTGAGCACAGTTGATCCACATACACGCTTATGAAACATTCTGAAACTATGAATTGTGTGGTTGATGCAACATCTGTTTGGAAATACTCACAGCACATATTTCAGCACAGACACCAACACAATACTTCAGTCATTAAGACCGAAAAATAGTTCCTAATCGATCAATGTTTTCCCAAACATCAGTGACTCGCACATGCTCACATGGAATATGTATTTGTTTGGCATGTTGTATGTACATCTTGTTTCCCGGGGGATGAACTTCAAATTCCAGATCCTCACAACATGAGATAACTAATGCGAACATTAACAGCCGTATTATTATTAATTTGAGGGAGTCTCTGTGGAAATCACGTCATCGTGACCCCCGGCGCGCGAGGCAATGGCCCCGCCGACCGCCCCCCCTGTTCCGTTTCAGGCGACGCAATCCGGCGAATTTGGAGAATCCGGCGACGAATTCCAAACCGGCGCTTTCGCGTGGGACATCGTCAGAAAAGGAAACGCCCCTAAGGAGGCCATCGGCGCGCCGACAAAGGGATGGCGCGGGGGGGCGTCCGAGAAGGCGGAGGGGTTTCTTAAGAAGGCATGGGGCCTTCTCAGAAGGTCCAGGAGGCTTCTAGTCAGAAGGCCGTTTAGAACCAGGGCTGGTTTCTAAGAGCCCCCCTGTTTCTTATCCGAAAAAGCCCGCCGCTTTCTCAGAAGCCGACCCCTCTCGCGCCAATCCCTCGTAGGCGCCGTCAAACTCAGGCCCCGCCCAACCTCGGCGCCCCCCCGCGAGAGGTTCAGGGGGCGGAAAAAAAACCGCACGGACATAATACTTGTCGATTCAACAACATGTCGGAACATGTGAAGATGTGGGATGTGTGGGGGGGAGGGCGCAACACCGGAACACACTGAATAATATTAGGGATCCGAGGACTCGTATGTATTAGCTTGCGTGTCCTCGGGCCCCGTCAGAGGTCCAGACCCAAGACGCTGAAACAAGGACCGCGTCGGGTTCAGGGGGGGCTCTGGCCGTCGGGCCGCTCCTCGCACCTGGGTCGTGGAGCCCTTTCGTGGCCGAGGCTCGCCGTGGCCAGGACAGCCCCGTCGCTCCTTCTTGGGAACGAGGGAAAAAAAAACGGGGTCGTCTGCGCCGGCATTGGCAGGTAAACTGCCCGCGGAAGGTCGCGCGTAAGCGCCCTGGTCTCCAGTGTGGCTTCCCGCGCTGGCGGCCCGCACAGGCCGCGGCGTAACGTTGCTACGACACCTCGCGTAAGACCCGTTTAGTGATCGTCTTTCATTTACATAGCTCCACGGTAGTGCGTCGGGGGCGTGACAGGCATTCGGGCGTCCAGTGGCCGCCCAAACTGATGGGATAATATTTGAGCGGAGATCATGGAGGAAACGCCGGGCCAGCGCAAGGCGACCGAGGAAAATATTATCTAAGTGAGGGCCCATGGCATTGTAGTAGCATGCTAATGTGTCAGGGTGTTGTTTCCATGTGCGCTGTTACCTGCTTACTGCCGCAGTCGAAGCCACGCGAAGCACGATGGCTGTACCCCACCTTGACGCCTCCCCCGTGGGGGTCCATGCACCGAACACATCGATACGCTACATGGCTCGGGACGGCAGGGCCGCTGCGCGCGGCCGCGCCCAGGCGTGTGGCGCGCTCATCGTCAGGGAGGCGCGGGTTTGATGACGACGGGGCATGGGGAGGAGGAGGGTGAAGAGGAATATGAGGATGAGACGAAGGCTGAGAAGGGAGGGTGAGGACGCACCGTAGCCATGTTGGCTCAAGTGCGAAACCGTGCCCTGCGGCTTCGTGCTTGTCTGCAGCCGAGGGGCTGGCTGGAGGCGAGCTGCCCCAGCATCTGCAGGCCTCTCTCGCACGATCCCCGCGACGAGCCCCTGTGCGGTCGCGGGTTTCAAGCAAGTCTCTCCCATCCCTCATGCTTCGCTGGCAATGCAGCTGCTGCGTTCAGAATGCCGCCGCCTTGGGATGAGGAGGAAAGGGGGAATGGATGGGGAGGACGGGGAGCGAGGATATTGGTTAGTGTAGATTTGCCGCGCTTCTAACGGATGTAACCAACTCGGGGCCACCTACACAGCGCAGAGGTGGGCTGGTACACGGCTGCCAGCGCAGGAGGAGGCGGAGGAGGAGGCAGCAGCAGGAAGAGGAAAAGGAGGAGGAGGAGGAGCAGCAGGAATCGGAGGAACAGGAGGAGGAGGAGGAGGAGGGGGTGGCGCGAGGGAGGAGGAGGAGGAGGAGGAGGAGGAGGGGCAGGATTGGCAAGGGGCCTTGGGTCAGCCAGCAAGAGATGGATACAAGGCTACCTCCCGTCACGTCGGGGCCGCCTCGCTGAGGAGATGGATGGAGAGGAGGAGGAGGAGAAGGAGGAAAAGGAGGAACAGGAGGGTGGAGGAGGAGAAGGAGAAGGAGGAGGGGGAGGAGGGGGCGGAAAGAGAAGGAAAAGAAGGGAGGCGGGTCCGTAGCCATTGCGGCTCAAGCGGCTTGACTGGATTGGTTCTGTTTGCTTTTCTGTCCAGGGTTGTGCTACGATATGGTGGTTGTCTCGTCCATTGCCGTGGTGCGCATACGGCAGCGTCATTCGTATCTGCGTGTAGTAGCTCGGACTTCGTCTCTGACAAGCTGGCTGCTGGCGCACCAGCACATGAAGAAGTTGCACGCCTCGCTACAGGCATACATCTCGCAGCTCCGGAGTAGTGAGAGCTGCTTGGGAAGGCCACCATCCGCAGGAACTTTCAGGCCCAGCAACATGTACGTAGAAGTGAAGCTACTTCCCCATGTACAATGTGATGTGCGGGCGTTGGACACCGCTTCGGCTCTACTTCGGCATCCTGGGGTTGCTCTGGCTGTGGCGCTAACGTAAGCTGCGCGAGGTTTCGGAGGGGGGTTACGAGTGCTGATGCTGCGACGGCGTCGGAGTATATGAAAGTCACGTAGGAGAGCGGTGCACGGACCGCCATTTCCAGTATGACGACCAAGCAGCAGGACCACAGTGCGGATCGCCACCCTGGTGTCCAGCCGCTGCGCCCCATCCGGGGATTATTCACCAGCGGCGGCAACAATGCGCACGATAAGAAGATAAACGGCAAGCTGGCGGCAAACACTCATGTGTTGCGGGCGAATAACTGAGAGCCAAGTGAGCACCCTGGAGAAGAAGTTGACGTGGTTCGATGCGAGGCTCGACGGCCTCGCAAAGAGCATCCAGGACCAGCCGGCCCTCCCGGACCAGCTCGCAAGGCAGCAGAAGCAATTCCAAGGAAGCGCAGGAGTCCAAGCAGGCTGTGATGGGCGTCCGCATCCACAAGCTCGGCGCACAGCTGCATATATGTTGGCTGAGTGTCATTACTAAGCAAGGCTTGGACGCCGCGGTGGAGGAGCTGACGGACAAGCATCTGACGGACAAGGTCGAGGCCATGAGCGCGGAGGTGGTTAGGCTGATATCGTTCGCGGAGGAGCAGCATGCGCAAAGGCAACAGCTGCAACAGGCGCGCCGCTCACATGAGGAGTTGCGCCAAAGCCTAAGGATACAGAGCGAGCTCGTGTCCGCTTCCGTCGACGTCAGTGGCCTTGAGGCCAAGCGGAGCTACAAGTCCAAATCCGAGGTCGCCCGTGACGAAACCCTCAGGAAGGTGCGCTTCGGGGCGCCGACGCGCTTCCTGGAACAGCGACTGTAGGGCTGTTTCTTTTCTCGTGGCTTTCCCCCTCGCCTCGGGTCGTCGGCAGCCCTGCCATGGGTCGGTTGTCCAGAAGCTGTCGGTTATGTCGGCATTAACTGATCAACGATGGGCTCACCGGTATGCCTATAGTTATCTTTTCTTTCGATCGTCTAGGGCGTCGGGCTTCAGATTCCGCTATGGTGCGGGTGCTGGAGGAAGGGGCGGGAGGAGGAGGAGGAGGAGGAGGAGGAGGAGGAGGAGGAGGAGGAGGAGGAGGAGGGGGAATACAGTGGGAGGAGTATTAGGATTGTCACGGCTGTCGTTTAAGGCACGGGTAATGTTTTACCGCTTCGTGCCCTAACAATGGTGGCACGCCATGTTCTGGATGCAACACTTGTGAAGATGCGGCTACTACCACGCCTATGCTGTGCAACACTCGCGCCAATGCCCTCCACTCGCCGCCCATGGCCTACACGCGGGCCCTTTGCACGGTGGCTGGTAAGCCCCCCACCCCCATGCCTGACACTGCCACCTATCCGTTCCACTTCGATCTCTCCCTCTCACCTCCGATTTACATGGGGCATCCTCCAATGCGCCGGGACTGCGTGTCCCATAACAGGGGCTGTGCGTCCCATTTGCCAGGACTGTGTGTCCCATAATCGAGACTGCGCGTCGCAGTTGCCAGGACTGCGTGTCCCATAACAGGGACTGTGCGTCCCATTTGCCAGGACTGCGTGTCCCATAACAGAGACTGTGCGTCCCAGTTGCCAGGACTGTGTGTCCCATAATCGAGACTGCGCGCCCCATTTGCCAGGAATGTGTGTCCCACAGCAGGGACTGCGCGTCCCATTTGCCAGGACTGCGTGTCCCATAACAGAGACTGTGCGTCCCATTTGCCAGGACTGTGTGTCCCATAATCGAGACTGCGCGTCCCAATTGCCAGGAATGTGTGTCCCATAGCAGGGACTGCGCGTCCCATTTGCACTGCGTGTCCCATAACAGGGACTGCGCGTCCCATTTGCCAGGACTGTGTGTCCCATAATCGAGACTGCGCGTCCCATTTGCCAGGAATGTGTGTCCCATAGCAGGGACTGCGCGTCCCATTTGCCAGGACTGCGTGTCCCATAACAGGGACTGCGCGTCCCATTTGCCAGGACTGTGTGTCCCATAATCGAGACTGCGCGTCCCATTTGCCAGGATGTGTGTCCCACAGCAGGGACTGCGCGTCCCATTTGCCAGGACTGCGTGTCCCATAACAGGGACTGCGCGTCCCATTTGCCAGGACTGTGTGTCCCATAATCGAGACTGCGCGTCCCAATTGCCAGGAATGTGTGTCCCATAGCAGGGACTGCGCGTCCCATTTGCCAGGACTGCGTGTCCCATAACAGGGACTGTGCGTTCCATTTGCCAGGACTGTGTGTCCCATAATCGAGACTGCGCGCCCCATTTGCCAGGAATGTGTGTCCCATAGCAAGGGCTGCGCGTCCCATCTGCCAGGACTGCGTGTCCCATAACAGGGACTGTGCGTCCCATGTGCCAGGACTGTGTGTCCCATAATCGAGACTGCGCGTCCCAGTTGCCAGGACTGCGTGTCCCATAACAGGGACTGCGCGTCCCATTTGCCAGGACTGCGTGTCCCATAACAAAGACTGTGCGTCCCGTTTGCCAGGACTGTGTGTCCCATAATCGAGACTGCGCGCCCCATGTGCCAGGAATGTGCGTCCCATAGCTGGGACTGCGCGTCCCATTTGCAAGGACTGTGTGTCCCATAACAGAGACTGTGTGTCCCATTTGCCAGGATTGTGTGTCCCATAATCGAGACTGCGCGTCCCAATTGCCAGGGATGCGTGTCCCATAGCAGGGACTGCGCGTCCCATTTGCCAGGACTGCGTGTCCCATGACAGGGGTGTTGCGTCCCATTTGCAAGGACTGTGTGTCCCATGATCGAGACTGCGCGTCCCGTTTGCCAGGAATGCGTGTCCCATGGCAGGGACTGCGCGTCCCATTTGCCAGGACTGCGTGTCCCATAACAGGGACTGCGCGTCCCATTTGCCAGGACTGTGTGTCCCATGATCGAGACTGCGCGTCCCATTTGCCAGAAATGTGTGTCCCATAGCAGGGACTGCGCGTCCCATTTGCCAGGACTGCGTGTCCCATAACAGGGACTGTGCGTCCCATGTGCCAGGACTGTGTGTCCCATAATCGAGACTGCGCGTCCCAGTTGCCAGGAATGTGTGTCCCATAGCAGGGACTGCGCGTCCCATTTGCCAGGGCTGCGTGTCCCATAACAGGGACTGCGCGTTCCGTTTGCCAGGACTGTGTGTCCCATAATCGAGACTGCGCGCCCCATTTGCCAGGAATGTGTGTCCCATAGCAGGGACTGCGCGTCCCATTTGCCAGGACTGCGTGTCCCATAACAGGGACTGTGCGTTCCATTTGCCAGGACTGTGTGTCCCATAATCGAGACTGCGCGTCCCAGTTGCCAGGAATGTGTGTCCCATAGCAGGGACTGCGCGTCCCATTTGCCAGGACTGCGTGTCCCATAACAGGGACTGCGCGCCCCATTTGCCAGGACTGTGTGTCCCATAATCGAGACTGCGCGTCCCATTCGCCAGGAATGTGTGTCCCATAGCGGGGACTGCGCGTTCCATTTGCCAGGACTGCGTGTCCCATAACAGGGGCTTTGCGTCCCATTTGCCAGGACTGTGTGTCCCATAATCGAGACTGCGCGTCCCAATTGCCAGGAATGTGTGCCCCATAGCAGGGACTGCGCGTCCCATTTGCCAGGACTGCGTGTCCCATGACAGGGACTGTGCGTCCCATTTGCCAGGACTGTGTGTCCCATAATCGAGACTGCGCGTCCTATTTAATTAATCAGAGCTGCGTGTCCCATAGCCCATAGCTGGGACTGCGTGTGCCATGCGCCTGCCCTCTGGGAGGACCGCCCCGTCGGCCATAGGCCATGGGGCATAAGGGCTGGAAGGCTGGAATGCGGGTCGCATAGCATCAAATCGCAACCGCATCGCATTGTGCTTTGGTATCGATTATGGTTTGCGCACGAACAACATGGCAACTACTGCGCCTACCTTACTACTCCCCTCTGTGTCAAATGGGAACTACTTCTATGCCGTACCCCGACCGCTATTACTCGGATACTATGTAATCTACCTACGGATGCCTACCAGGCGAGACACGGCCCACGACTGTGAAGCCCGTTATATGGAATGCGCCACCGTCCTCCTTCTGGAGGGGGGGCGCTCCACGACTGTGAAGCCCGCTTAACTATCCTACTCTCATCCTCCCTCAACAGGAGGGCCGCCCCACGACTGTGAAGCCTTATTATCGCCAAACTCTTACCTTTGCCCTTCGCTGTCACTTGTCCCCCCACCACTAAGTGGCAATGCGTCCCTTCCCCCCAGACTTTGAAGCTTGCCCACCCCCCTCTCCCAATGAGAGGCAGGCGAGCAACGCCCCACGACTGTGCCCTTTTAACAACCCCACTCTCGTCCTCCCTCAACAGGAGGGCCGCCCCACGACTGCGAAGCCCTAACATTGCCCCTCGCTTATCCCTTTACCTTTACGGTCATGTGTTACCCCGCGACTAGATAGCAATACCTACTCGGCAAACCCCTCCCCTACTACCATTTGACAGGCTGCCCCACGACTGTGAAGCACGGCTATCCCCTTGAAAGCTACCCACCTATTATGGGAGCGGCCGCGGGGGCGAACCTTCCAATACTAAAATTCGACACCTACTGCTGCAAGAAGGGCCCCACGACTGTGGGGCACCACTAACCTGGACTGCGCCGTGGCCGCCTCTTTGGTGGGCGATGGCGTGCCCCACGACTGTGAAGCCCCTAAAGCGCTGGCCCAGGCCCCAGGGCCGCCCCACGACTGTGAAGCCTCAGGGCCGCCCCAAGACTAATATGAACAATGCAAGGCGAACCTTGTTGTCCCGGCTCGCCGGGCTCCTTAATCTTCCCCCCCCCACGTCCACTAAGTAGTCCAGTCGGCTCCTCACTAGCAGATTCCAAGTCTATGAAGGGTGCTGCGTTAAATTGGGGTGCCAAGGGGGCCACGCTCCCAGCCCCTTAGTCCGAGGGGTCTGGGTCCTACTGCCCCCTACAAGTGTGAACCCTACATGATGCATACGGTCTCCGTTGCTTCTCTACCCCCCTGGCGTGGCTGGGGACTGGCATTCGCCCCAGCCCACGCTCTGATTCTAGCCCTTCCCTAACCCCCTCAGGCGGTTACTCCTTGTGCTGGGAGGGCACTTGAACGTGCCTCTTGCCACTGTCGCCCCGCTGTTCACTCCCCTGGGGGCTCTGCTGGGGTGCTCGTCGGGCGTGGGGAATCTACGCCCTTAGTGGCGCCCCGTGCGTCCCCAGCCGACTCCCCCAGAGGAGTATAGAACAGCATTGGCACGGGGGGAGAGGAGTATTAGGAGGAGGAGGAGGAGGAGGAGGAGGAGGAGGAGGAGGAGGAGGAAGAGGAGGAGGAGGAGGAGGAGGAGGAGGAGGGGGAATACAGTGGGAGGGGTATGATTCAGAGGAGGAGGAGGAGGAGGAGGAGGAAAAGGAGGAGGGAGGAAGAAACAGAATGACAGAGATCGGAACAGGAACCTGATGAGTTGGTGGAAGCAATTGGGCGAAGGTGGAAGCGGCGCTCCAAAACCTAGGAGTTGGGCGTCGCGGGAGAAGAACCACGGCGGGCCCTTTTGTTAGCCCCCGCCTTGGGTCCAGGGGGCGCCCTGCGCATCGAGCGGGGGGAGGAAACGAAGCAAGACGAACTCCTTTGACGAATTGGTGACTTCTCTCTTCGTCCTCCCTCTCCTCCTCCTCCTCTTCCTCCTCCTCCTCCTCCTCCTCCTCGTCCTCCTCCTTTTCCTCCTCGTCCTCCTCCTCCACCTTTTCAGGTGTGGCACAGCACTGCCACCTCGCGTTCGGCCGCGAGCACTCCAGCTTGCGTCCCTCTTTCAGTGTTTCAGGCGATGCTTGGGAGGCCGTCAGACGGCTCGTGGGAAGCTGTGGTGGTTCGAGGAGACAAATGGCGACGGGGACAGAGCTCTGTTTGTGATTCTTCTGGACACCGTGATCTTCGTCACGGCGTGAGACTCGGGGGGGCCCAATCCTGGTGGAGTAGGGCGTGTGGACATCAAGGCCCGGGTTTTTGACAACTCCCACATCCTCTTCGTCCGCGCACATGCCTCGGGCCACGCTCTTGCCTCCCCCCCTTCCTGGGCCCCCCTCCTTCGGCGCACCCGACAATAGCCGCAGACCGCCGCCGCCGCCCCCGAGGCGCGTGGAGGTCGAGGGGGCCTGCGGTTGGGCCTCGGGACGCCGATGGCGCTGACGTCGCCCCGCCGCCGCCCGCCCGGCCCACCCCGAGGCACGGGAGATCGAGGACTTGCGGAGGGCCGGGGAGAAGGTTTCGACCTTCTGCCAGCTGCCCCGCCCGCGGTCGGCGCGTCGCGGCGCCCGGTCGGGGCCCCGTCGTGGCCGCAGTTCGTCCAGGCTGGAGGGGGGAGAGGGGGAGCGGAGGGGCAGGGGGTGGGTGGGAGAGCGAGGGCCCAGCCAAGACGCGGAAAGCAGACCTCTGCTCGTCTCACACGCACACGCTTTGCCGATTTCATTACATGCAGGCGCCTCGACACCCCCGTCGCCGCGCCTTCACAGCGCCACGCGCGCGGAACCGTTGCCGTTGCCGTTGGGCTCAGACGGGGATCTGGTTGTAGTGCGGTCTTGGGATTTGGGTCGGGGAATTTGTTCGGCCGAGGCTCACCGTGGTTAGAAAAGCGCCCGCGTTCCTTGTTCGGCCTTCCCTGGTAGCACGATGGCAGTAGGTCGTGTGGGCACCACGTCCTGGCCATGAAAAACTTCAGATGTCGTGCTCTCCTTGTTTTTTTGTTCCATGCAGTCCTGGCCCCCGCCTCGTCCGCGCAGGTGCCTCGGGACACGATGGTCCCTTCCCTTGTCCTGGCCCTCCTCGTCGGCACATCGGACCAGCATCGACGTCGTCGTCGTCGTCGTCGTCGTCGTCGCAGAGTTGCCGACACTTCCTGACCACGGCGTCGTCGTCGAAGTCACATTTGTGACCACGGCACCGTCGTCGTCACGCGTCCCCAGCGGCGTCGCCGTTGCCGTCGCGAAATTCCGCGACCTCTGCGTCGTCGTCCCCAGACGCTCGACGTTGGTACCTTGTTCACAGCGTTGACCCCCAGAGGTCTCGACCCTGTCCCCAGGACGGGCCTGAGTCGCTTTATTGTCCGGCCCAGGGGCTCACTCGAGGCCCACAGAGGCCCAGAACCGAGAACCGAGGAGGAGCTCAGAGCCTTGTACGGGACGTTTTCCGGCCATCGTCTGGCCCAGAGGGGCCGAGGAAGAGGGTCGAGGCTCTGGGACGAATGCGACGAGGACGCCGCCGCCGGCCGCGCTGGCGACGGATCGCGCCCGGCCGCGCGCGCGCGCGGGCACGCCTCGCGCGCCGGCGGAGGCACCTAAGGGAGTCCGACCTCATCAGGCCGCGTGCCCGCCTGGGAGAGCTCGCCATCGGAGATCTTCGCGTTAGCCGATGCTCCCGTTTAAGGGGCCCTTTGTTCCGTAGACGGGGGGCACAGCGAACGGGGACACCTGGAAAAGCCTAAGCCCCCGTTTCGTTATGCCCCCGTCTGGGGGCCTCGAGGAGAGAGGGCGTTCTCAGTCGAGGATCCAACAACAAATGTAAGCATAAGTGTTTAGAGGGCCGCGTGGATTTCTTGGATCGGCGCTTGCTTGGCTTCGATTGCCCCCCTTTTTGGCACGCGGATTTCTTGAATTGCCCACTGATCGCCGATTGAGGCCTGATAGTCCACCCCGCCCAGGACCGTGCGGATCTACTATCGAAGGCTTATCTCCGATCCATCGGAGATGTATCACCGATTGGAGATCGATGTTTCCACCTCTGCGCTGGTTCCGCCTAACGTAACGTTGCCTCTCGCTGGGAACGCTGACGAGGACAAAAGCGTATCGGGACGCTGTAAGAGCGGTCCTGAATTTTCTGGAGTAGCCGCGGTGCCCGATATCGGGGGTGTTTTTTACTGACAGAGACTGACCGCAAGCGAACCAGCCTTCGTTTGAAAAACAGCTAGCCAGCGCAGGGGACGCATTCGACCCGACCCCACGCACCTTGGGATGGGTCGCCGTCGTCCTCCTCTACGCTGGCAATGGGAAAGCCAGAGAGGCCGTCCCACAAGGCCAGATCGGCCTGGAAAGCGGGCGGCGGAGAGCACTCCTGCCCCGTCCACCCCACCCCCACCCCCCCACTCCCAGTCCCGACAGGAGGAGAAAGAGCAGGCAGAGGCGGCAGTTCGGCCGACTCCAGCAGCCTTCGCTTCCGCAGCAAAATCGGAGGGCCCACAAAATCGCGGGCCCGTAAAGGATGGCAGCCTCGCATGAGGTTGCGCAGCCTGTAGTATCTCGAGTCTCTCACCAGGACACCCTGCCTACGATTCATCGGTAAGCAATCCTGCGAAAGACCCTGGCTCTTCTTTTCCGAAAATGCCCCGCACAGAGAGCAGAACAGGAAAGGCCCCGCGCGGTGAAGTGCGTGGGAGCTGGACCTGTCGTCACATCGAAGCTGGCGAAGCACCGAGCGTGTCCTCGCTGACCGAAGGCACACCATGCATCGGAACCTGTGCGCAACCACCGTCACTGCAGGGTCGAAACGCGAGTGCGGCTTCGGGGGACCAAGTCCCCCCTCAATCGTGCCTATGGCACGGCCGAGTATTTGCGCTTGGGCGTCACGTGGCGTGATGGTGCCGATCCGAGCGACCAGCCTGGTACAGAACTGGGCTACAAGGCGGATGGCGCTGCGCGACGCGCCATGCGCAGATCGCAGCTGGAGGGAATCGCTATGCATGGCGGCACCCCATTTAGCCGACTGATCAGCCTGGGCATTGCCGACACGCTGCCATTCTGAAATCCGTCCCTCTGCTACGGCAGAGGCAGGAGTATGCGCTTTGACGTGAGAAACCTCCACCGACTCACCCCCACGGTCAGACACAAGCCTCCAAACCTCCCTCCAAAGTAAGGCAAGCGGGTCACTCGCAGCGGTGCCCGCTCCAACGCCTTGGCGCCAGACATCCACGAGCGGCTTGCAATCCGTATAAAACTTCATCTGAGCTCCCATATACCTCAGCGCCATCAAGAAACTGAAAAGCTCAGCCGCTGGCACAGATTGAATGAGACAGGGCAGAGGGCCATGCAGGCGAGCAACCACTCGCTTGCTGTCGTCAAGCGAACAGAGTCCCCATCCGCAGCGCCGTAAGCGAGAGAAACTTCCGTGCCTCCCCGACCCATCACCGAACACGTGCACGTCGAGCAGCAAGTCGGGAGACCGCACCGTCCACACGACTCGCTCCTCGAGGCAGGGGCTCGGGAAGAGCCAAGCAGGGTCAGGGACAAGAAAGCGCGTGAAAAGCAAGGTATCCACCGCAGCAGCTCGAGCCATGTCTAGCATTTGACCAGCCATGGCACTGCCAGCTCTGTAATCCCGACGGAACTCGGTATGCAGGGGGCAATCGTAGAATCGGTGCCAGGTAGATCCAGCACTCTGACAGGCAAGGCAGCTCGGGTTGACGGCTCCACCTGACTCGTACAGTCGCTCCTGCGACCAGAAACCTCCTGCAACCAGGCACCGCAGCAGTCCCTGATGCCTTGGGGTCCAGTCAGGGCCTCGGACAGAATGAGGCTGGAGGAGGGACCTCAGGGGCTCCACGAGAGGAGGATGAGGGCAGGGCGAGACCCACGAGGGATGCTTCGCGAGAACCTGGCGCCACACCCACCGCTCGGTGGCCTCATCAACTAACCTACCTCCATCCTTCGGGGAAATCTGTTCAATTGCAAGAGGACCTCGGTGGGTCTTCCAATGAAAAGGGTCAGATACAGACCAACCCAACCGCAAAATTGTCGCAACTAGCGCAGAAGCAGGTCCGCGAATGTCAGACCAAACTTGAGACACAGGAACTCTAGACAGGCGTGTCCATGCTCCACTCAGAAGTCGCGCCATATCTGCTCTGGGGGCCCATCCGTCCCACAGCGCCTGCAGCCAGAGGAAGATCGGGCTCCTGTTGCACTCGAAGGCGGGGTCGACCTGCGGCCCAGCCAGCATGAGGTCCAATGAGAGCGACCTGCCCGTGTGCCTGTAGACCATGCCCGCGCGCGCCAGTTGCCTGGCGCTCAGTAGGTGCGTGTTGCTGATGCCGTGAACTCCCACTGCCCAGAGCATCCCAGGCTTGAGGCCAGTCTGCACCAGCTTGATCGTCTTGCCCCCAGCTTTCGCGAGCCGCTTATACCGAGGGATCCGAGACGCCATCCTGCCCAGCCGCTGTGCACGAACCGAATGAGAAAGCCGATTTCCACCGCCAAAGTCCAGCCCCAGGTTCCGAACCGAGCGTGTGAGGAACCTCGACGAGGACGGGTTGACTTTCCTAAACACCTTCCGTATGCCTTGGCCGATGACCACCTGGTGCTTCTTGGGCAGGGAGAGAGTCAAGCCGATCTGCGTAAGCTCAGCCGCCAATAGGTCCTCGGCCCCCTTGAGTTCCCTGGCGACTTCCCATGCCTCGCCAATACGTTGCAACTGCAGATCATCTACCACGACCGCCACCTCGACATTCACGAAGCGAAGAGAGACGGCATCCACTGGCGACAAGAGCACCAGACGCAGTAGGGAAGTCGCGCAGCTGCAGCCCGCGACAATCGTGCGGTGCGTCACCACCACCTGCGTGGCGATGTTCTGGAAGAGCACCATTCTGTCGAGGCAATATGATGCGAGCAGGAAGCGAAGGGTCTTACCTCGGAACTTGTGCCGACGGGCTGCTGCAGCTAAAACATGGTGGGGCACGTGCTCATATGCTTTGACCAGGTCGAGCAGGGTTGTCCCTGCCGCTCTGCCCTGGTCTCTGGCCAACTCCGCCTTGAAACTCTGCTTCCAAACGCAAATGTCACATGAGGCCCCTGAGTCACCATACCAGAACCCGCGAGGGTTTGCCTTTTCCCAAGGGCCAGCAACTTTCCATCGGGCCCAGCGGGACCACAACCGAAGAGGCGTCGCGAAGATCCCAATAGGACGATCTCCCCCTTCAGGCGGCGGCTTCGGTAGAAGAGCAATAAGCAGCAGAGCCCAGCACCTCGGAATGTGAACCAGGCGCTGCATCTCGGCCCAGATCCGAAGGAAAACCGCGATAGCGCCGTCGTCGAGGAAGGACCAGTGACGGGGATGCAGGCCACAGACTCCGATGGCCGTGTGCGTGCTGTAGGTATTGGTAAGGGCTAAGAGCTCCTCATGGGTGGGGGCCTCCAGCTCTGGCTCGTCATCGCACCAACCAAAATCAGGCTCTGGGAAAACTTGTCCGACACCCCAATGCTGATGCCACTTTTGAGCCCGAAGATCGGCTTCAGCAGCAATCCCCAGAGGCTCACCAGACGGCCCCGAGAAACAAGAGAGCCCAGATGCAGCCCACTTCGGAACCTCT